ATTTAGAAGAGATGAGAAAAAAGGGAGAGGTTAAAAAAAAAAAAAAAACAGATCCATTCAGATCATCACAAGACAAAAACTTAGTGTTTGTTTTTTAAATGAAGTTTAAACATTTTGTTTAATTGAGTATAAAGGTGTGTGTGTGTGTGTGTGTGTGAGAGAGAGAGAGAGAGAGAGACAGAGAGAGAGAGAGAGAGAGAGGGAGAGAGAGAGAGAGAGAGGTGGTGGTGAGGGGGTATGCGGGCAAATGAATTCAGTTACCTGCAAAGCTCGGAGGTGTTGGATGCCCTGAAGATGGATGGAGTGCTGGGAAACTCTGGTCCTCTGTAAAGGCAGTATGCACTTTGAACTGGTGAACCATCTCTCCAGCTCCAAAGCTATATCCCAGGCTACTCTCAACTCTTGTGTGATCCTTCTGCCTCTACCTCTCCTTCGTTATCCTCCAGGCGTGGTCCACCACAACCTTCATGTTTGCTCTTTAACATGTTTTCTCTAGGTGGCCTAGAATGACCTCAGAGTTTCAGTCTTTCTGCCCCACATTCCTGACCACTGGGATTACAGACATGCTGTCACAATACAGAGACATTTTTAGTTATAGACGGAAAGACCTGGACACTAAAAACTATGAAATGTTTTTAAGAGTTTGAAGAAGATGTAACTGAAAAATACATGTTGTACATTGGATAGAAATATGTATTGTTAGATAACAATACTGCCCCAGCCATCTCCACATTCAGCATGAGCCCTATCAAAATTCAATAGCATTATATTTACAGGAATAGAAAGTCCTAGTATAATTCCCCATGGGACCTCAAGTGCTTACAGCCTTTAAAAAGAAGCAGGATGGAAGTCTTACAGAGTCTGATTTTAAAATTTGCCACAGAACTATGATAATCAAAACAAACCAATTGCCATAAGGACACACAGTGTCCAGTGAAATAGAATGCTTTCTATTTCAGAAATAAATCTTGACATATGTGGAACTATTTTAAATTTATTTTTTATTATGTTATGGGGGGCATTTTTTACTGCATGTTTCTCCATATCCCATTTGCATAACCTGCATAAGGGGGCTAAAAGAGGATGTTGGATACTCTGGTATTAGAGTTAACGACAGCCTTGAGCTACCATGTAGGTGCTGGAAATTGAACACTAGGTTTACTGCAAGAACAAGTACTCTTAACTGCTGAGCCCTTTCTCCAACTCCATGAAATGAATTTTGACAAGGATCCCAACGGTTTTTCATGGGAGAGTAGGAAGTCTTCCTAAGAAATGACGCTGGGAAATACTGGAAAACATATGCGAAGGGGTGACTCTAGAACCACAGAAGTCAACTCAATGGATACAAATTTTAAAAGTTAAAACTATACAAATCTCAGAATAAAATAGGAATAAAATGTGTGCATGATATTAGACATGGCACTGAATTTTGGTTATGGCACTAAAGGCTCAAGCAAGAGGAAAAAACGAAACAGAGATGTTGGGTAACTGCAATGTTCAAGGAAATTTGGGCATCAAAGGACACAGAAAACAGACAAGCAGCCCTCAAGCACTATAGTTAGAGCAAAACAGTGAGGATAGTGTTCTTTTATACTTACCCCCAGGTGTCCTAATCAGATCAAGATAGTAGGAGCAACACTAAGTGCCTTTCACATCCTTTCAAACTTTTCTGCCATTTCTCTAGAGGGCTGAGCCTGGCGTATTCACCCCTCCCCCAAGAATTCCTTGGTCTTGGGTCCTGGGTAGCTACTTTCCTGGCAGGGAGTTGAGGGACACTATGCTCTTCATTGTGCCTTTCAGCACAATGCTGGTTTGGTCCTTTGTGTAGCTCTGCCCTCAGATCATTTCCAAATGCATAGGAGAGAAGTTAGCCTGTCTCCTCCTGCAGAGGTGGATAAAGGCACTGTCTCTGTTGCTTCGTTACAGAAACAGATGCCTATGTTTTAGAAAAATACTCCACTAAGGAGCAGTTACCAACTGCTGCATCACTGCAGCATAACAGGTAACTAGAAACTTTAATGCACATGGGAAGTGGTGTGCAGCGCTCAGTTTTCTGGGGAATTAACAAGTATGTTTGCTGGCCTTGGCTAGCTCCCCCACAGGCTGAGTATGAGTGGTCACCAGCTAGCCCACTGGGTTGGACTCTGAAAAGTTAGTGCACCTCATTCCTGTCCCTGTGTCAATTCTCCTGGACCAGTGGGTTCACCTGGCATAGCTTTCTCATGTAAGAGGAAGGGGCAAACAAAATCAGTTACTCTTGTGACTACCAACCTGTCCCATCTACTACCCACCAGACAAAGGAAGTTACAGGCTTGATCTATAGTTGAGAGATGACAGAGACTGCCTCTCTAGTGAGGCTCATCTAGGGTGTGGGGCCAGAGCTACAACAGACTCAGTTTGCCATGGTGATTTTCCCAGTGACATCCTCAAGGAATCTCCATAGAAAAAAGCTTTAGACATCCCTGTAAATTTATTTCCCTATATACTTTATAAAACACAACAAAATGTTGGATAACTGAATCATTGGCTTAGGCTCTCTGACCTCTACATTTCTCCGTAAGGTTTTGCTTAAGAAGAATGTGTGGATAGGTGCTCAATCTAAGCTCCTGAACTCCTAAACCTCCAAAAATGACAGTTGCCTCTATTACCTAAATCAGCTGGCTTTGAGATAGTCCGGAATGTAGATCAGTGAGAAATGACATAGGCAGCTGAAAAGGATTGGAAGTAGTGGTTACCTGGAGATCAACAGCTGGCATGTGGTGCTGCCTTGGCTACAGACAGGCTACAGAGATCCTTGTCCGAGTTCTGGAACACTTGTGCAGATATGTTGCTGGTTCTGTTGCTGTGACGAGGTTGAAATCAGATCCAAAGGTGTGTTACACTGTGGTCTTCATTGAGCTGAAGCTGTCAAGCTCGTGGTGGGCAATACAATGGACTCTGCAGGGTTTCCTTCTTCAACAAATAATTCCCAGCAGTTACTTGATCTTGGAAACAGGGCACACCTGAGACTCTTGAACAGCGAGCCACTCTTGAAAACTGAACCCACAGCAATTCAAGGGGCCCAGGGCTCTTCCCAAGAGTGCTTGATTTCCCAAGAGTGGGCAGGTATTCCCTGCTGACTCATGTCCATCACCTCAAAACCCAGAAGATCCAGGATAGCTTTCTCTGCCAACAATCCCAACCTACGTTGGTCCCTTAATCTCCAAAGTCATTTATTCTGTGAGTTTTTGTGGGTCACTTGCCATGGGAGGTACTGTTCTGGCTCCAAAAGATGGCTGTGGGACAGACAGGCAAAGCTCTGACTTAATAGACTCAAACCAAAGTAGACCTGGCCCCCATCCCGCCAATAGTCTAGTGGATGTGCCCTTTTGCACATGGTGCATAAGGCTTTGAACTCATTAACCTGGGGCAAAGTGAGGAGAGACTAGTGGACCAGATTCTGGTTCTATTTGAGAAGGTTGACAAGATCACCATCTTTTCAGCAAGGAATATCACAATTAACTCTCATGCCGGTCTTCTTCAGTATTTGGGGGTTGGGGGGTTTAAGAAATTAATACAAAGGTAAAGAGGCACAAAGATTCACTAGGGTGCACAGTACAGGCTGCCTGTGTCTGGGATCTCTCTGCCTTCTAGGACTGTGGGGATGTGCTGAGCAACTTGTGCCTTCATATCCTTGCTCGTCTGCCAATGGGAATGATAATAATAAATAAAAGTAATAGACATTGCTAAGAAGTTGGTGAGATGGTGAATGTTTATGTATGTGGCACAGACCTAAACACAGCTACAGATGGCGATGTCCTAATACAAAAACTATTCAAAGAGCATTAGTAAGGAAGAAAGAAAGGAAGCTAATGAAGGAACGAAGGAGGAAAACAAAGGGAGGAAAAGAAGTAGATTATAGGTACACAGCCTTGATATTGTGTATCTTCAATATCATTATATGTATATCATTATTTATACACACAGAGAGAGATGGAAAGCAGGGGAAGCAGATTGTCAGCTGAGTGGGATGGATTTAGCATCTCACTGCCCAGGACACCAGCCATCATCTTTCCCATCATTTGTCCACGTTCCCCTGCTTTTCTATCAGAAGTATGGCCCGAAGCCAGGATGATTCCAGTCAATTTTGTGTCTCAGTCGAAAAGTAAAAAAAAAAAAAAAAAAAAAAAAAAAATACTGCAGAGAGCTTCACCATCTCCTGTTCACCATCTCCTGTTGCGGTAAAATACATAGACAAAAACAACTCAAGGGGGAGGGGCTTCTCTTAGCTCACATTTCTGGGTTCAAGCCCATTGGAGAGGGGAGGTCAGAGTCACATTGCATCTGTAGTCTAAGTGCCAGTGCCTGATTGGCTCTCTCTCTCTCCTTTCACTCGGTCCAGGGTCCAGCCTATGAAATAGTTCATCCCACTCACAGGGTGGGTCTTCACACCTCAAGTAACGCAACTAAGAACCAGGAAACTGCTAAGCACAATGTCTCTAACAATGTAGACACATGTGCATATGTGTGTTTGCGCCTTCAGGTTGTTTGGGAGAGATGAGTAAGAAAATAATTAGTAAAAAGTAATACTCTCAGTTATACACACTGTTGTAATGAATAGGATGCAACGTTGGCTGAAATATTGCATGGCTTAGAAAAAACAGTATTTAGTTTTGGGTTATAGATGTAGTTCACTACTCACTTTCATTTTGTCATGTATGCACACTTCTAAATACTGCTCCACACACCATTAATACTCATACATTTTAACTGTCAATTTAGAACAGTTGAGGGAAGGCGAATTAAACATAGCATTGTATCTAAATAAAGCTTATTTAAGTAGTGCGTTTGGTGAGTTCCTTAGTCATCCAAAATTCTCAATGCACTTTGAGGTCAGCTTTGCTGGGGTGGACCTTGGGAAGGGTGGCTTATATGGATGTGACTTGTGTCTGTCTAGAAGCATTTTCCCCCTCTCTGTTCCTCAGCACACCTCTAAAGGCACCCCTCACTATGTGTTTCAGGATCACCACCACAGCGGCATGCATGATGGACCTCAGAAGATACCCACTGGATGAACAAAACTGCACCCTGGAAATCGAAAGCTGTGTGTATCAAAATATGCCTTCCTTTTTCTTGCCCTTTGAGTTTTAAGTCTCTCTCGTTGTTGCAAGTTAGCATCTATACTAAAGCATTCATATACTTTTAAGGACCTTAAAGTTAGTCTGGGGATAGGGTGCCTCAGTGGTAGAATGTTTGCCTACTACACACAAGGCCAGCACACAAGAGAAAACAATTAGAAGACGGACTCTTAACAATTTTAATGTGGAACACAAAGAGAGAAAGACAGAAACACACACACACACACACACACACAAAGATTGAAAGACAGGAGTGTGTGTGTGGGGGGGGTAACTCAGTATAAAAGCGCTCTTCATTCTAATCTGATTAAGTAGTCTGTTTTCTGTGCTGAAATAGAAGAAAACAAATGTTCCCCATCTCAATCCGTTCAGCAGGAAGAGAGCAAACACTGAGATGCAATTTTCCTACAATCTGCTTCATCACGCTTGAGTGGCTGGACTGCTGGGACCCTGGGCAGTCAGAGTGAAACTCATTTCCCACCAGAATCACAGTCTTCCAAGCTGGCCATTTCTGCATCTTGGCAATTTTCTTCAATTTGAGGAGTGTTCGGATGCCTTATTGATAATTCAGTGCTGTTTGCCTCTATGGGAGAGTTGAGGCTGTGTTGCTAATATCTAACAAAATGTGCCTCCTGCTACCTGAATGGAACCACCTATTGATCCTGACCCATCACACATTGGTTTACTAGTCTCAGCGAGGATTAGTACTGAGTCTCTCACAGATTGGTTTGTTATTAGTCTCGACTTGTGTTCTACTGAGGTTTGGGTGCCTAAGTGAAATTGCCTTTGTGGTGTCCCTGGAAGTATTTGTGGTTGAGGAGGGTATGTGATGCTTTAGCTGGTCAAGGAAGTGCAGATTGGGAGGCTGCAGCTGGCCCCATACTGTTCCCTTCACTTCCATACTGCACTAGGGTCCATGCTTGCTGACAGCTGCTCTTCCAGGGATTAGGATATAGAATCACATCCAAAGATGCACAATGGAAGCATCTGGGGGACATTGGACAAAGAGCTTAGGAGGCTCCGAGGAAAGATGGCAATTCCCTGTAGTTCTTAGGATTACCCTAGGAGGTCAGATAGCTTCTGTGTGACTAGAGGCTACAGTCTCTGCTGAGACTGGGTAAATTTTAGGAAGTGAATATGAGCTTTTATTTAGGAAGCAGCTTCAGTGGGTGGGGACTCCCTGGACATATAGTGTAACATCTGGGTGTGTGGCCTGACTTCAGTGGGTGGTGGGGAAAAGAGGTTCCATGGGTAAGGGAGGGCTTGAAGTACCTGAGGATAAGCAAGCATGGGATCCCTTTGTGCCAGCCTTTCTGTACTGTGAGTGGAGTAGGGGAAAGGTGGCTTTGTTTTCCAGGTGAGTACAAGTTCATCAATCTATTAATTTACCCCCACATACTTTGCAGGCTTCGATTCTCCGCCAGCACTGACGCTTGGCTTTGGTTTTGTTTTCTGGTTCTGGGATTAAAATCAGGGCTTCACACATGTGGAACAAGCACTCTACCGTAGAGCTGCACTCCAACCCTGTGCAGGCACTGTTGGAAGTACAGGTACACATAGAAGACACAGGCAAACTGCCTGAACCATAAGATCCAGAGAACACAGGCAGGACGAGCAATATGTGTTTTGAAGAACAAAGGATTATGTGTGATTGTGGGGTTGCTCTGAAGGTAGGATCTGTCTCACAGACAGCTTCTGCAGGTGTGTTCAGTAACTCAGTGTGATGTGGAGAAGGATGAGTTATTTGAACTCCTGAGATAGGCTTCTACAGAAAGCCAAGCTGCCCTGGTCACAGGAGCTGCTCTTAGCTGTAAGAGGCCTGTATACCAACTGGTAATGGGAGAAGGAGGAGCATCACACTGGTGTGGGGGAGTGGGGTCTTGTACGTTCTTGGGGTCCTTGTGAGAAGTTTGGGCTTGTATTGCCCAATGCATAGAAAACAACTAAGAACTTGAGGTATAGGAGTGGTATGACGGGGTGAGTATTTTATTAGAGAAGGCATTATCAGAGCTGAAAGCCAGAAGGAAGGTACTAGGTAGGAGGTGCCACACGGTGGTCTACACAGACACGGAGGGGTAACAAAGTGCTTTAGGGCTGTGAAGACCACCACGGGAGCAGTCAATACTGAGGAACTGAGCCACGAAAACATCCGATAGGTTTGTTCTATATATGTTCAAACTCCAAATCGTGTTACATTGCAACATTTTTCATCAGGTTTGTGTTTTATTGGTCTAATTGAAACACCCGAATGGATGTGATAGTCTGTACTCCCAGCTCTAAGCAGATGGTGTAGGACATTGGGCAGTGAGACCTGACTCAAGGGGAAAACAGGAAGGAAGGGAAGAGAGGAGGTAACGGAAGGTGGAAAAGAGAGAAAGGGGAGGGTAGAGGGGATAGCGAAGGAAGGAGAGAGGAGGAGGGAGGTGAAGAAAGAGAGGGAGGAATAAAAGATACAAATAAAGAATACACAGAGAGAGATGGGAATCAATAAACCTATAATTTGCTGTGATCTCCTGGGAGGTTAGCTAAGACCACGCTTTGTTTCTCATTGACTCACTCATTCTTGAGGAGTACTACCTGCCTTTCAGGTGAATGTGAGAAATGTTCCCAGAGTTGGGTAAGAGATACAACCCTTACTGTCATCAACTTCTTTATGATGAGCATACCTGTGTCAGTGTAGCTCAGACAAAAGTCTCCCAGCAAAGAGCATTCCTGAAGTGGAGGGCACCTTAAGCTCTTGTCACTAGGCTTCGATTTGGGAAAGTTGGTCCGCCATCTCTGCACCTATCCTAGACTCCTCGACCACTGCCTTCCCCCACCACTTTATTCCTTACTGTAAATGTATGTTTAAAACCTCGACTGGGTTTTACCCAAGTGTCTGTACTCTCATGCTTGCCACATAGAACTCTACTTCAAGCTCTCATCGCCCCCAAGCCAAATTCTCTGTCTTTCAGGACCACCCTGGAACAAATCAGACTGCTGAGGTAGCATACAAATGCCCGAAGGCTAATTTATTCGTGTTTCTCACAGATGTGCACATTACATAATTTTTAAAAATCTAACGGAGCCATTATTTCCTTTTAACAAAGGTAATTTCTTGGGCTATTCATTATTATAAAGTGACAGTATCTCCTATCCACCATGTCCCTGCTTCTCTCTTCTGGTAGATGGCTACACCACGGATGACATTGAATTTTACTGGCGTGGCGGGGACAAGGCTGTCACTGGCGTGGAAAGGATCGAGCTCCCACAGTTCTCCATTGTGGAGCACCGTCTGGTCTCCAGGAATGTTGTCTTCGCCACAGGTGACTCCTGTGCCCACTCTCAGTCCCTTTAGGATACGGGCTGCCTTGGTGAAGTGTATGTTGGCTGGCTTGCATGTACTGTCAGGAACCAATCATGACACGAACTCCTTAAACTTGTGTATAGAACGGATTGGTATGTGTGGTAAGGGAAAATGACCACCAGAGAATGAGATGATGTGCAGGATATGCTGTGGAAGATAAGACAGTGCATGAGTAAGTAGCCAGTCCCTGGTTGATGTCATAAGTAAAATAAGAGAAGAGGCCTTGGTTGGAGATAAAGAAAAGGACAGGGTTAACAGATGTTCTCCCAGGATCTAGCCCCCTTCTCCTCTTCCTGGGCTTAGTTTAGATTTGGTGATTCAGGGCAACAGAGGTCCCTACTGCCTTCCAGACTCTATACGTGATTCTCCGAACACTGTCTGGTTAAGATTACCATGGCCTGAGAAGATTCACTGCTGTTTTTCTCCAACTACACATAGCCGGAGAAGATGTCTGTGCTTGCTGAGGTTTGATTAAGTTGCTGTCGCATGCACTTTATGGCTTTGGCGGTATCTCAGTCACTTTTGTTCTTGGTGCATGCTCTGCATGATAATTGAGATGATATATGATAGTAGTTTGCAAACTGTAAAGAATAGCCATGTCCACAAACAGAGTTGAAAATGCTAAGGGAGAGCAGAACTGTTCATACATTTGAACAGAAGACAACAGCTGTGATTCAGTGTCAGGCTGTGATGGCCTTAAAGAAGCTGGCCTTTTGCTGTCTGCCTAGTGCCTGGAGGTGACTGATCCTGACCCACAGGCACCTGCTGTGTCTCCTCTGCTAACTGAGTCTGGTTCACCTCACCTTCCCTCTGCCCTGTCCCTACTGACACAGCTATCCTGGCTGGGTTATATAGTTGCTGTACAACTTCTCAGTCCCCTTCCATCTCTACTCACAGCTTATTCTTCCATTGACAGCAAGATTGTGTGTCCCCAGGAGGGACCGATCCAATTCACAGCACACCAGTCCTGCCCGAGCTGCTTCCCCCCTGAGATGGGAGCATTAGTCATTGAGTACCTGCACAACGGCTCTGCGTTTTGGTTTCTGTGATTCAGTGTGTTAGGGGAGTCAGAAGCTTGAATTCTTAAGTCAGGTCTGTCTGCATTCAGTGCTGCTTAGACAGGGTCTGCAGATCTGTGGAGACACACCGAAGAGCTCACTTTTGGGTGGAGCGTGAAAAGACCAGCAGCTCTGACTTAACATTCAGGAATTGTGTACACAATCAAGACAATTGCGATGATGCTGCCCTGTGTCCCAAGCCTTATGTGCAAGAGACCGGCTCAGAGTACGCTGGTACCCGATAGTATTCCCACAGCAGAGAGATCCTACCATTCCTGCCTTTGTCTACGAAGTTTCCTTTGTGACAAGACCATGCTTATATGAGACTGTCTTACAGTTTCCTCAGAAGCCTGTGGAAGGGAGTGGACTGGACAGCCCTTAGCCCAGCTTAGCGTTGGTTGGCATTGTTGTTTTAAACACCCGCGGTTTGATTTGTGGAGGAAAGGAAGTCTAAGTATGGGCGTCTCAGGCTCCAAGCTATACCTTGACATGTCTTGACATGTGAGGCCATCACAATGCAGCAATGTCTTCCTTCTGGCATGATTAGAGTTCTATATTCTTCCAGTACTGCACGGGGCTTGGCATCAGTTCTAAAACCTCTCGCTCCTAAAGAACTTGCACTTGTAAATTATACTGACCGAAACATACATGGAGATATAGCATAACCCTCATTGTCTTAAAGGTATTTTAAAAGCTGCATGCGATCCTCATTTTTCCCCATTCGCTGGTGTTATGAATTAATGCAATTCCAATAGGTAATCTTCTTGGAAAGGACTTTATCACCTGGAGACAAGCTGTCTAACAAGGATTAGGAGAGAGCAAGGTCTCTGTCCACTTGAGAAGTAGCTTGAGTTATGCACAGCAGTTAAATGGAGAGAATACACTGGTTGGCAACACATAATAAAACGAAGAATTTCTGCAGAAGAGATAATTAAATTATTATTTTACATTGAAGAGATAACAGAAAACTCTATACTCAAGGACTGAAATACCCTGTGTCAAAGAAAACAATCCACATAAAGCCTCCTCATCCCTGAATGGGAACAGAGCATTGCACTTCTTGTAATGAGGTAGCCATGCTTTAGAGGCGCTGTAGAGTTACAGAGGAACAGCTGGGTTCATTTGTGCCAAAACAACAAACAGGCAAACAGAACAATGTCAGTTCCAAGCATGATCCCAGTGTTCTGAAAGGTGTTTTTATAGACGTGGGAAAGGGAGTCAGACTACCCAGTGCTCACTCCTCAGCACAGTAACATTTTTGTGTCAGTTTTATGCCAGTAATGTCCCGAGAGCCCTTACTTTAGAAATGTGTTAGTTTATGTTACAGTAGAAGAAAGTTACAAGCCAGTAATGTTGATTGTAGTATACTACCAAGTATGTCCAAGGGTCCCGTGTTCAACCTGCTAGCACTGCAAAGTAAACAAACAAGTAAATTAGGAAAATGAAGGGGTGAGGAGATGGGCGAATTGATGTAGGAGTGTCAAAGGTACAGCTACGGTGATGCTCAAGGGTTTTTGCACACACCCACCATGATGTACCTTTGATACTTCTCCGTCACTTGTTTTTCTAAACTCTTAAGTGGTCAGTTCCCAAGTGTCTATGTTATGTTATGTGAGTGCTTACAGAAACAGGTGATTCGTTTTACTAACAGAGTTCTTGTACAAAGTATGAAGTTGGGACAACCAGTATCTACTGGACCATTGTGTGCCGTCTGCATCTGACTCCTAGGCAGCCAATCTTGTACCAAAGACCATGTGTTCTAGATGAACTGGGCTACTATGCAGGATTTTAGGAGATAACATGGGGTTGGAGGCCCCCACACCCTAACCCAGGACCATGGAATGTCATCTAAGACAAGGAAAAAATGAACAACCTACCACTGAGCCCTCCTCTGCTCAGCTGTTGTTCCTTAAATCTTTGACCAACTCTGAAACTTTTTCCCTGGCAGCACTCCCTGACTCATGATGACCTCTTCAGTTTAGCGCACTAAACTTTTCTCTTAGCTACTGAATTTAGTTCCCTTGCCTCCTAACATCCATTCTTTACTGCCCTCATACTTTACTTTTGCTCAGATTCCAGCCTCCATTTGACATGTTTTCTTTTGGCTGTCCTGTGCTAATGCAGTCCGTTCACACTCCGCAGTGAGTAGTCCCCCTGCCAAGGCCTCTGCTCATCTTCCGTGGGCTTCTTCTCTAGTTTATTCTTTTCCCTTTGGAAAGCTTTGGGTGACATCTGGTATCATTCCTTGTCATCTGTCCAGTGTTAACTTTATCAGATGTTCCAGTCTTTTGAGTAAACGCGTTTGTTCTTAACCATGTATCAGGATTTCAACAATTTAATCAAACTCCAAATGTGGTTCCCTCTGCAAATTCCACCAGGAGAAGGTGATTATACTCATTAAGCACTTGATTAAGCAACTCACTTCTTCAGGAAATCCTCCTCATCGTGAATTCTAATTTTTATGGAAGTGCTTAGGAACATATTACGCAGGTGATTCCTCAGGGATTACAAGCTTACAAGCGGCAATGTTAATTCAAAGCTGGAAACCCACATTGCTATTCTTTCTTAAAAAAAAATGGGATGGAAAAAAAGACCCAGTGAGAGACAAGGTGAAAGAGGAGTGGATTATTATTATTTCACATCTACACCTGGTCCTTAGCTAGGTTTCAGACTGCCTCCAGCAGCTACTGAAGAAAAAAAAAAATGAGCATGTCCATGTAGCCAGTAGACTTCAATTCACCACCATGAGACTTGTGAATTTTATGATGTAATTAATTGCAGGAAATAAGGACAAGCCAAACATGTCTAAAGTTTTGCGATTCTTCTAGTCAAGACCTGAAATGGTATTTTGGGCTTCTAAACAAACTCTGGCCATGTTATCAGTACTTCATTTCCTGAACTTAACTTTTAAACAGTCTCACTTAACAAGTGACTCAGAGCACTTCCCTCATGAAAAAAAAAATATTTAATAAGGCAAATATTATAACTTCAGGGTAAACACAGATAAGACCATTGATCTCCACAGGAGTGACAATAATTAACTGTCTCCTCTATTCTACCTAGTTTCTGTTTACTTAAATGTAGTAAGCTTAAGTGTTACTGAAATATTTTGGATATGCCAACAATTTTTAATGAGTGTTTAATTTTTTAAATGTCAAACCAAATTGGTTCCAGTTCATCAAAACATTAACAATAATGTAGAAAGGGTACAGCTCAGTGGTAGAAGAGTTGTTTGGTTGCGCAAGGCCCCTGGAATCCATTCCCAAGGATGGAGAAAAGGAAAGACAACAGAAAGTGTATGGAGGGGTGAGACTTTTTAGCGGATTGTCAAACTCTAGTTGGCAGATACTCAAATGGGCCCAACTTAAGCAGCTAAGACAACACCCGGAGGAAAGATTTGATAAGAGGAACTTCCATAAAGAGATGCTTGTGGTTTTAACATTCATCGTTCTTTTCTGTGTGAACACACATATAAAATATATTGTGAATACAGGGTGAATCCAAGCAACTCTGCATGACGTGAACACCGAAGTAACTGCCCCCACGTCCTCCTTTGACTAGAAATCTTCTGTCCTTGAAGATTGCCACTGTCCTATCACTCTGTAGCCAGTGTACTCTGGTTCTGAGCATTGTCTAAACGGGTAATAGAGCCTGGACTGTTTACCACCTCAGCTGCACACTGCAGACTCCATTCACCTCCACATTAGTTCTCTCATTTTCTTTACTACACTCTTGTAAATGTGCGCAGGTGAGTGACAAGTACCTGCCTGCGAGAAGAGTTGGAAACGCTCAAACTTAACTTGAAGTGCCAAACTGCTTTCCAAAATGGCTGTACCAAGGTACACACACTCTAGTCAACCTGCATGGCAGATTATCATATGTCATATGTTATCAAGATACA